AAAAATTTGGGAAAATTATATTTTTGTCAAATAGATTTGAAAACACATTTCGAGACAAATTTTGTCAAATTTTTTTAAGGATTTCAAGTATTTAGCAGAAAATTTATGCCAACCTATTTAGCCAAAAAAATATTGATATCACATTTTTGACATAAAATTTATGGATTCTCAATATTTGGCAAATAAATCACAAAATAAAATAAAATACTTCAAAAATAATATTTTGGTGGGAAAATTACAGATGCATATTTTTTACGGAAAAAATTGAAAACAGGTTTTCACAAAAAAAAATTCAAAATTATAATTTTAAGTAAGTTTTTTTGCAGAAGATTTACGGTTTCACTTATTTGACGATAAATTCATGAAAATCAAATTTTTGACTGGTAGTTTTGGAATCACATTAGTAATGCAAAATTTTGATAAAATAGTTTTTAATCATATTTTTGATGTAATTGTTTGGTGTGAAAATTACTTATTTCATCTTTTTGGTATAAAGTTTGCGAAATCGATTTTTTAATGGAAATTTTAAGAATCTTATTTTAAATAAGTTTTTAGCGAAATATTTACAAGTTCAAGTATTTGTGTGAAACTTGTGGAATCATATTTTTAGATGAATAATTTTTTCATTTTTATTATCATCTTATTTTGTTCCACTATAAATAAATAACAAAAAAATTACAATATATGTGAATGTATTTCAATTATATAGCGAGAATTACGGACTGAAAATGAAACGTAAGGTCATAGAATAAGATAAAAACTATAAAAAAATAAAAATATGAATACAAAATAAAAAAACAAAGAATAACAAAGAATCATTTTATTTTATTTTACAGTTTTTTTTAAGTATTTTAAGTTTTGTACATGTTTTATTTTTTGCTATATACAATATCTCAGACTTACCAAAACATTTTTTAACACATTAATTTTTTTTGATAAATATATTACTGAACAAACAAATCACTTATTTATTATAAATGATATATATTATTATTAATTAATTTTTATCAAAATTCTCATGCCCGCACATATGTGCAGGCTAACCACCTAGTAATATATATTAGGAAAATTTCTAACTCCTAAATTAATTGACAAGAAAATAAAAAAAAATAATTTCATTTTATAGATGGAAATTTTAAAATAAAAAAGCTTAAGTAATAAATATAAAAGAAAATTATGTTAAAAACCCAAACTATAGTATTCCTCAGATTTAAATAAAACTAACAAAAAAAATTAATATAGTAAAAAAAAAATTAACTTGATGTTTAAAACAAAGAAATTAAATTAAAATTTAATATAAAAACAAATTTAACAAAGAGAAACTATTCATATAAAAGAAATAATTGATGTCTATGCTACGTATTTTGAAAATCAACAACAAAAAACTTAATAAAAAATAAATCCTAAGTATATCAAACATACAATAAAAAATAAGATAAAAAATAAAATTACTATCAAAAGATGCAAAGTAACAAAAAAAATTAAAACGAACAAATTTTAAAAAATTTCTGATTTCTAAATTATTGATATCAACAATGAATAAATATCTAAAGTTGCAATAAGTTTACACGAATTTCTAAATTACATATTTTTAAATATACAATGATTAATACACTGAGTATTTCTGATTCAAAATCTAACAACGAATAAACTACATAAATAATTTTACATTTGAAATTTAACAAGTGGTAAAATTTGATTTCTATATATAACGACTACTTATATTTGAACCGACATAAATAACACATGAGTAAGACATTCTAAATATCCACTACATATTATTTGAGAAGTAACATTATTAAAAATAGCTGACTTGTCAACACTACAGCAAAAGTTAGTGCTTTTAATTGATGACATGTAAATATGACATGTCAAAGTTTCTAAAATAAACGAAATATTTTGATTGGTTGAATTAAAATTATAGATATTATGGAATTAAAACATAAATAAACTAGATTATATTTATAACGCTAAAATTAACAAATTTAAATTAACACAAAATAAAAGTTATTATAATTTCATTTTTTACATATATTCATAATTTCATAAAATATAATTACGAAATTTTTTCAACAATATATATATATATATATTATAATTTCATATAAAACGAAAAAATAATACTAAATTATCCAATAAAATAATAAAAATTATATTTAATAATAATATTTAAAGTATGATATATTTTTATTTCGAAAAGCTATTAATTTACAAATCTTTATATTTATAAAGCACAAGTCAGTTGACAATTGTGGTATTGACAAGTGTCCTTTTATGTTTTAAACTAATTTACCTTTTATTTTTTTACCACAAAAATTTGTATCTTTTAAATCATTTTTTAAAAAACAATCTCATAACTACCCATGATCTTTTTAACTTCCCATCTTTACAGCACATTACCGTCACTTTCATCATATATATATCAGAAATGTTTAGCCCATATAATCTTTTATAAATTTGCAAAGAAAATTCGACAAAAAAAATCTGCAAAGAAAAAAAAACAGTTATTTTAGGTAATCTATTAATTTTCGATTTTTGGGGTTTTATCTAAATTATTATCATAGATTTATAGATACCTAATTTGAAATTTTTAATTCAATTTTGTTTCAGATATTAGTGTGATTATTTACAAGATGAAACAACTACTAGAAACACAACATTTATTTAATAATAACCAAAAACACAACATTACAAAAATGGTAAGATGTAAAGATGTCTTCGGTAGAAAGTGAGGTTCTATCCATTTAATAATGATAACATTTGTGAATTAAAGATATTAGGCTGATATTTTTTTTTGTTTTTTGTTCTGTGATCTATCTTTCTGGATTTGAGAAACATAAAAAAACAACAAAGTGATGTGAAAAGTAAACATTTATTTTTAATTTTTTAAATATTTATTTTCCATTTTTATTTATTACACTTTCAATAAATATTTTCTCATGACAAAATTAATTAACAAAATAAATTATTTTATACATGTTCAATTATCTATATCAAATACTAAAATGTATTAATTTATAATTTTGTATAATTATAAGATACACATACATACTACTATATAAATATCTTGGATAAGTATGTTTACTTTCTTTTTCTATTATCCAATTCTCAAAATTAAAGTATTTCAATAGTAAAAATGTTAAACTGTTTTAATTTCAAACATGTTATTTTTTACCAATTTTATATAATTTTTTTACTTAAATATTATATTAAACTGTTTTGATTTTAAACATATGATCTTTTATATTAATTTATCTCAAATACCAATCCCCCTGCTAGTATTAATAACATCTAAACAACTTTTAAATAAACAAATTATTAAATAATACAATTTAAATAAAATACAATCATGATAAAAATAATTTAAAGAATAAATGTTAAAAATAATAAAAATAATAAACTTTTATTGATTTTTTTTTAAAAAATGTAGTTTTAAATAATTTTTCTTTTCAAACCAATATTTACTAAATGAATAAAGTATATACTAATTATTATTTTATAATATTAATAGGACCATATATTTTTCTATAATTTTTATCATTTTTTTGTTGTTGTTTTCTAAAATGTACATAACTTATGTTACCATCTCATCTTATCTCTTATCATATTTTAAATAAAAATAAATTTTTATATCATATGTATATATATATATACGTAAATTTATTTTCATTGTATATCAAAATTTTGAGAACATAAATAAAATGAAAAATAAACGAACGAAAGAATAAATTATAATAAGATGAAACAATATGAAAAAGAAATAAAAATAGAAGTATATAAAAATAAATCTCTCGCACTTTGTTTTACAAAATCACTTAAAATCTTTTTAACACCTAAGAGCCATATTTCAATTTTTTTACAAATACGCGCACATGCATAAATATTAATTGTACATTAGTTGAAGTCACATGCGGACTTTTTCGTGCATGCATTTTGTTAAGATTGATTACAAACTAATTTTTATTTAATTATTATACAATTTATTTCTTTTTAAAAATATTTATCTATTCTAAGTGTAGTGAAGTGGTTGGTATGTCCGCACATGCGTGTCAACCATCTATCCGCTCTTAAAAATAAGTAAAAACGTTAAAATCATTTCAGTTTAATTTGCAATAAATCAAAAAAAATATATACTTAAAATATATTATATATGTATTTGCGAATCCATATTATGTAAGACGCAAAAAAACATATTATAGATTGAGTAAGGAGAAATAAAGCATATTATAGAAATATTCAAAAAATATTATACAAATTTTATTATTATTTAACATAACTTTTATATTTGTGATTATATATTATTATAAGCATTATAAAAATAAAGTTTTTAAAATATATTGGTTTCAGAAAGAAATTTGTGAAATATTAAAACAATATATATACAAAGATACCAATATTTAAAAAAACTAATCAACATTTAAATATTACAATTAACTATGTATATAAAAAAAATTATACCCGCACATATGTGCAGGTAACCACCTAGTTTTTTTTAATAATAAAATACGACAGAGTTATGAATCAAACTCAAATTGGTATATGTAGATACAAATATTCAAATCAAGGAAAAGAGATTGCACACAAAAAATAAAAACAATGAAAAATAATACAAAGACTCCACACCACCAATCAATTAAGTTTTAAAACTAAAATATCAAATATTAGACTGCAAAAAAAAAATAGGTCTGGATGAAAACTGAAAAATAAAATATAAGCTAAAACTCGTAGAAGACTCAATAGAGAAAAAAAAAAAAAGGTTTTGCATGATCCAATAATTGCAACTTCTTGACAAAGCACAAAACTAAATGTAAATCAACATGAATCATGAATTATATATGCATAGCTAAACAATATTAATAAAACATCTATTAGGTAAAATTGTCTTAAACGTCAGAATTTGTGTTTGTCTACTACGCATAATATTTTATATATATATATATATATATATATATATATAAGACGGTCGTATTAGGTTCTCCATTCTTTTTCTGTCTTCAATCATGATTTCCACCGCCTCCAACTCCGAGGAGCCATCGTTATCGCTTTCTTCGTTGCCCGACGACGTTGTTTTGAACTGCTTAGCCCGCGTTCCGAGATGCTATGACCTAAACCTCTCTTGCGTCTCAAAAGCCCTCAGGTCACTCGTACGCTCCCCTGATCTGTACCGTTTGAGATCCAAAAAGTCCGTCTATTTATACTGGACCACTCTCCGTCGGAGTGAGAAGACGAGTGACTATCAACTGGTCCCGGTTCCGCTCCCTTCTGATGCTTCAATGTTCTTAGCGTCTTCCACCGTCGCAGTGGGATCAAAGATCTACTTCTTTGGGAGACTTGGATGTCCCTCGAAGAGTTTGTTGATACCCAATCCAAACAGAGAAGGAGCGTAATCGGCGGATTTAAGGCGGCGGCGTTGGAAAACGATGGATGATCGACGGTGGCGGCGAGATCTGAGTGTAGCCCCTCGATAGAGGTTGAGACAGGGAACGAGGCTGAGTCCGGAGGGTCTGGAGGGGCGGGAGGGTGGGGAGGTTCGAGAGGAGGGGCCAACTCAAGCAGATTTGGAGGAGAGACAATCGGCGGCGGCTTTGGAGGAGGGGGCAGAAGCAACGGCGTGACGCAAAATAGAACAACCACCATCGAAACAAAGGGAGAAAAGAAGAGGATGGAGAAAGAAGAGAGTTCTCACCGGTGGGCGAGAGGCCCAGCCGGCGGCGGCAGATCAAATGAAAACCCTAATCGCTTTTTTGCAGAGAGACATACATTAATTTGTCTAAGGGCTTCACCTACTACCCATTTGGAACTTTTACTTTAAATCTCCTCAAGGTATAGTATTACCCTACCCCGCTAATCCCATGCACAAGAACACATTCACATATCTTTAAGAAATGGTGAAGAGTAAGTTTTTTACTGTTGTCTCTCGTCTTTAGTTTTTATAATATACCTACGGGATAAGGTTTGGATTTCTGAATTACGAATTGTGAAACATAAAACTTTATATAATAAGATAAATACAAATAAAAACATACTATGAGGATTTTAGCAACGCCTTGCACGACATGCCATATTTAATTTTGTTTGCACTCTTGTGTCGTTTGTAGTTAATTTATAACCTTAAAAACACTATTCAATCTAACTGCTGACTGTTAAGATTTTGTCATTTGTCTAGACGGAAAATATTAAAGTTAAGTGTATATAACTTCTATAAATTAATACTCAATAAATTAATAATCACTGTTAATAAATTTTATCAGGCTAATATAAAAATTGACAAATTTCGATAAGAAAATAAGATAATAGTTTTTTTTGAACTCCTATGTAGAAACATTGTCTCTATAATTATATAAATTAATAATTACATATTTATGTATGTATAGATAATATAATAAAATATAATTTGATTTTATTATTGTTCAATTTTTTTAATAATTGTTTAACTTATTTTTTAATTCATTTATATGATATTTTTTGAATGAATTTTACCTTGTTGAAAACTATTTTTTATTTTTTGATAAATGTTAAAAACATGAATTAAAAATATCTCTATAAATTATTAATTTATTAATTAATTAATATCTCTTTAAATTAATAAAATTTTGAAGTCTTAACATTATTAATTTGTAGAGGTTTTACTGTATTATATAAAATGTTAATAGTATAAATTAATTTATAGAAGTTTTACTGTATTGTATAAGATTTTAGTAATATAAATTTGGTTAAAGCTCTTTAGTGTAATATCTAAATAAAATAAATTAATAAATTAATAAAAAATAAGAAAAAGAAAGGAAGGATTAGTTCTTAATTTTTTTATTTAAGAAACAATTCTAAACTTTTAAGAAACTTATTTAATGTGTGATATCTTATTATTGGTTTAGATTTTTTTATGATTTAATATTTTTTTAAAAAAAATATATTCTAAAATTTTTTTAGCATTGCACATGCCTTACTAGGTCAACTATTCTTCAATTTTTTTCCCTTCTTGTCAAAGCTACGATGTCTACCCCTAGCGCCTCCAACGCCGACGAGCCACCGCAAGAAGATAAACATCAGCCGTCATCGATTTCTTCATTGCCTGAGGAACTCATTTTAAGGTGCTTAGCCTGCGCCCCAAGAAACTGTTACCTAAACCTCTCTCGCGTCTCAAAAACCCTAAGGTGCCTTGTTCGCTCCCCTGAGCTCCACAGATTGCGATCCCTCCTCCCCAAGAACTCCACATATGTATGTTTCAAAGAATACAAAGGTACGAAGTACCGTTGGCTTACTCTCCGTCGGGTTGAGAAAACGACGACGATCAAGTATCGATTGATTCCGGCTGGGTTCCCTTCTCGTCATCCGTTTAGGCACGCTTCTTCAGCAGTCGCGGTCGGATCAGATATCTACTTTTTTGGCGCATCCTTCGAACCTTCCTCTGATGTTTGGATTATTAATACTCGGTCTGGAAAGTTTAGAAAAGGGCCAAACATGAAAGTGGCTCGGCGCGCGGATGAAACAGTCGTGGGAGTGATCGACGGGAAGATATACGTGATCACTGCCCTCGGGTGTGAAGAGGAGAGCCAAGTGGAAGTGTTGGATACAGAATCGAAAATTTGGAAATTTGCGGGGAAGGAGAAAGTGCCGCCAATACCGTGGTGTAAGCAGTATATGGCTTCGCTGGAGAGGAAGGTTTACATGGTGGAATGTGGTAGAATCAGAGTGTACAACCCGAGGGAAGAAGATGGAAGAAACCGGATGGTTCATATGGTAAGTGAGAAAAGAGAGAGTGTAAGTGAGACAAGAGAGAGGGTAAGTGAAGATGTGGATGGCGTGTGTGGGGTAGAGAATGTGCTCTATGCTTGTTTCGACCGGAGCGGGTTAATGTGGTTTGACACAAAGCTCAACGTTTGGAAAAGATTGGTCTGCCGTGAGGGGGATCATGAACTGGTGGGCTCAAGGTGTCTTCCCTATGGCCGTTCTACTGATCAGCTTGCAATGGCAGAGTACGAGGGAAAGCTAGCGGTTTTTCAATCCGTCGTCAGTGTTAAAGCGGAGAGTGAAATTTATATGTCGTTGTTCGCTTTGGATAGGGTTGGTGAAAGGCTTTTTGGGACGATCGAGTGGTCTGGTGCTGTGGCCAACATCCCACATCGCTATACAGTTGTGCATTGTTTAGTGGCTTCCGCAGCTCAAATATGATTAGTATGTTCTTGAGCACCGAGTTGTCACGAATGATATGCAGCCTAGAAAAGATTTATAATGGAAGTAAGTTAAGTAGACAATAAAATTTATGTATTTTATATGTTTCTTTGATTTTCTTATGTTCTTGCTTTCTCTTACTTGGGCCTGAAGAAAGAGACGCATAAACTAATAAACTATCATTTTCAGATGGGTCCACGCCTTCTTATGTTTCGTGTCAACAATTATCAGTGCATGCACGTTTAATTGCCATTTTAAAAACCCTTTGTATTAGCCTATATATGAATACCAAAATATAATTTTTGAAGCCAAATTCCACATTTCAACACCTATGTTTTTCCGCAAAGTTGTCACCTTTAGGGATATTATTTTCACTTGAAATTGGAAGCTCCCCTTAAAGAACATAACCTTTGGATATTGTGGCCACAGTCCCATTTTGCTCTACACTTCTGCGTTAATTGTTTAGCGGTTGATCGTGTCATGAATGATAATATGCAGCCTATAGAATCTTATTTTATTTTCCTTACAAATATTATACATAGATATAGGAGATTAATTCAGCAAATTTTCAAATATATATATGAATAGCTACACATTGACAAATAAATATAATTTAAATAAAAATTGTTGGGTTTTTCAAGTCAGTGTCCAATTTTTTATTAATATGATATCGTTCGTTTTAGGCTTAAGTGGCAAAGCCAACACATATTTATTTTTGAGCTTCTCTCAAAAGGTTTTATACTAATGAGAGTTGAACATTACTTATATATTAGACAATTAGACCAACTCAAATAAGAATTTTGGGTATCTAAAGTAAAATATCTTAGTAATAAAAATAAATAAAATAATAGTGAAAAGATCTAAAATAAGATACACAGTGTCTAAATTAAGATATTTTTGTGAGTTAAAACACTTAATATTTAAAATAAAATGATATAATATTTTTAAGAACTTCTTAATGAATTGTTCATTAGGATTGGTCTTACTGTCTAATTTTTCAATGTATGACTTGGACTGATATCCCAATAGAAATCATAACATCTAAATATTTGGAGTCATATGACAAATTTTAATTGGAAACCAAATAACAAATGAAAATTAAAAGAAATAAATAATTGTGAATTTATTAGATTTTTTTTATAAGTGATTTCATATCTGTATTTTCAGTCTTAGTTTTCCTTATTTTTCACCAATCATGTGTGACTTTTTCACTTTTATGTTTCGAGTTTTTTTTTCATGAGTTATATGAATTTGGTCAAAATTGAGGGAATTAATATTTTTTTTTGGGTGAAATTTCCATAAAAATCTGCTCCTCATTTATAAGACGGTCGTACTATAGGTGTTATTGGTTCTTGTATTTTAATGGATTTGAGAATCCAAACCAAATTCAGTGTTATTGGTTCTTGTATTTTAAAATTTATATTGAAATACAGTGTTATTGGTTCTATCATTTTAGAATCTAAATATTATAAGGATTTGAGTTTTAATTGAATTTGAATGAATTTGAAAGGATTTTTATGACTAAAATACAAAGACCCAAATACAAGGTCTAACCTTGGTAGGGGTTATTGGTTTTTGTATTTTGGTGGATTTATAAATCTTCTTTGGATTTGATAAATTTATTGATTTCAAAATCAGCAAAATGAAAAAAAATCAAATCTACTCAAATACCAAAATTAGACCTTGTATTTGGGTCTTTGTATTTTAGTCATGAAAATCCTTCCAAATCCATTCAAATTCAATTAAAACTTAAATCCTTATAATATTTAGATTTTAAAATAATAGCACCAATAACACTGTATTTCATTGTGGATTTTAAAATCATAGAATCAATAACACTGTATTTCAATATAAATTTTAAAATACAAGAACCAATAACACTGAATTTGGTTTAGATTATCAAATCCATTAAAATACAAGAACCAATAACATCTCTTTGGTATTTGAATGAATTTGATTTTTTTCCATTTTGCTGATTTTGAAATCAATAAATTTATCAAATCCAAAGAAGATTTATAAATCCACCAAAATACAAGAACCAATAAACCCCTACTTAGGTTCTTTCATTCTTTTCTTCTTAACGACGCTACGATGTCTACCCCAAGCGCCTCCAACGCCTACGAGCCACCGCAAGAAGATAACCATCAGCCTCCTTCGATTTCTTCATTGCCTGAGGAAATCATTTTAAGGTGCTTAGCCCGCGCCCCAAGAAACAGTCACTTAAACCTCTCCGGCGTCTCAAAAACCCTAAGGTCCCTTGTTCGCTCCCCTGAGCTTCACCGCTTGCGATCCCTCCTCCTCCCCAAGAACTCTATTTATGTATGTTTCGTAGGTAATAACGCTGGGACCTATCAATGGCATACTCTCCGTCCGATTGATGAGAAACCGACGACAAGGGCGACTGAGTACCGGTTGGTTCCGGTTCCGTTCCCTTCTCATCCTTTCATGTTCGGTTTTGTAACTGTCGCGGTCGGATCAGAGATCTACTTCGTCGGCGGATCCTATACACCGTCCTCTGATGTCTGGATCCTTGATACTCGATCTGGAGAGTTTACACAGGGACCAAGCCTAAAAGTGGCTCGGAGCGGAAATCAAATAGCCGCGGGAGTGGTCGACGGGAAGATATACGTGATCACCCTCGTCGAGAGTGATTCGGAAACTCAAGTGTTGGATCCAGAAACGAAAACTTGGAAACCCGTGGGGCAGGAGGATTTGCGCACAAGAGTGGGGTAAGCAGTATACTGCTTCGCTGGAGCGGAAGGTTTACATTGTGGGTGATTGTAAAACCGGAGTATACAATCCGAGAGAAGAAGACAGAGGAGGAAAGCGGATGGTTGAGATGGTAAACGAGAGTCTAGCTGAATGTAGTCAGAGAAAACGTAGGGGAAAGGTGAAGAGAAAGAGGATGAGTGATAACGTGGATTGCGTGTGTGTGGTAGAGAATGTGCTCTATGCTTTTTTTCGTTCGAGTGGGTTAATGTGGTTTGATACAAAGATCAATGCATGGAGAAGCTTAGAGGGCGCCAAGGTACAGTATCTCTTCCCTGTCGATGCGATGGCGGAATACGATGGAAAGCTAGCGGTTTTTGGGCTGTCTTCTTCTGCGATGGAAAGGTATACGTCTTCTTCTGTGATGGAAAGGTATACGTATACGTATACTAACAACAATGTTCAATGTGTATTGATCGCATTGCATAGAGTTGGAGAAATGATTCGTGGGACGATCGAGTGGTCTGGTGCCGTGGCCACAGTTCCACGTTTATTTGCACTTCTGCATTGTTTAGTTGCTTCCCATTGATCGCACCTCAAATCTGATTGGTATATGTTCTTAATTCTTAAATTATCTAGAAAAGTTTTGATAATAAAGTTTGTGTGGATTAACCAAGAAGGAGTTGATTTGTTGGTATTTATACCAAAAATCAATTCCCTTGGAATTATTTAAACCATTCTCATTTGACCACATAGATATATATAGATAGAAGTCTTTGCTTTCAGTTCATTTGAATCTATTCATAAACTAATATACGTCCCTTAAAATTGTTTAAACTATTCTCATTTGGGCATCCCACATTTAGAATTTACCAGAGTTATATCTATACTAAATGAAAGCAATTATTTTTGGCTATTAAACCAACTTCAATGGTGATTCTTAGACTATGGAGAGTTCTAAACACAATATCTTAACAAAAAAAAATAATAAAATAATAAAAGTTAAGAAAAAAGAGAAAAAACACTTCTTAAATTTCTGAATTAAGAAACATTCTTAACTTTGTAACAAACTCATTTAATAGAAGTACATTTATGATTGGTTTAAATTTTTTCATTATTTAAAAATTAATATCTTTATTTTTCAAGATACTCACAAAGGTTTTAAGTGATGGAGATCTAATGAAGTGTTCTTAGTAATATAACTGAATAAAAAAATTGTGAGTAGTGTCTTAAGTTTTAGACCAATGTTTAAATTAAGATTTTTTTTTGAATTAAGAACAGACATGTGGCAAATTATGAGTGGACAAAGAAAAATTAACCGAATAAAAAAAAGTTTTTACTTAAGTTTATTAAAAAAAAAAATTTTACTTAAGTTTAGTAAAAAAAAAAGTTGTTACTTAAGTTTATTAGAAAAAGTTTGTATTGAAGTTTATTTAAAAATTATTAACATAAATTTTTACTTAATTTATTTGTAAAAAAGTTTTTTTTCTTTTCTTAAAGACACCCATCAAAAGTGTCTCCATTGTAGGCTTAAAAACAACAAAATATTACAAAGTGTCTTATATACATAAAATACACTAAATATTAATAATTAATTAATAAAACTCCTATTAATAGTATCTCTATTGGGGTTGCTCTTAAAACCATCCACATCAGCAAAAAAACTCTTTATAATCATGCCACATCAGCAAACCTTTAATAAAAATAATTTTTAATATATTAATCACATGCTTAAAATTAAATAATATTTAATCAACAGTAATTATGATATTTGAATATTGATTAAATTTTATGTACTATAGTAACAAAATATATGACATATAACTTGATTTTAACAAAATAAAATCTATGATATATATAATATTTTTAATTCTTACAACCTAAATTAATAATAATCACATATTCTAACTAAAAATTGATAATATATAGTGTTATAAGGTATTAAGTTCTTTCACACAATAATTAAAAGCATCAAATATGTATGATTTTTTTGGACGAAATCAAATATGTATGATTATGTACATAATATTCAATTATTTTGGCTAAACAATTTTAGGCATAAATTAAAATTGATTACAGTATAGTATGAATTGTTATAGTCATGTGTATGTAAAGATAAACTTGCATAATTTTATATTAAACATTAATATATTACACTTCCATATTTAAAAATAGTATATATATTTTTATATAAAAAAAATGTCATAAATACTTCTCTAACCATCTATATCAACAAAAAATAATTTCTTTACAAACTCTAACATGTTAAGAAAACTAATATAGTTTTTGTTTTTGATTAAGAAACCCTTTTATAAATAATATAATATATATTATTAATTTAATTATAAAAGTTCATCAACATAGATATGTAGTGTAAAAAAATATCTAAGTTAAATTACAAGTAGATGCAAATAAATTTTTTATACATTTTGAGTTTTGAGAAACTCGATATACTTTGTTTAATATAATGTGTTAGTATGGAGTTATATTTGTATATCAATTACTTGTTTTATTCATCTACACTTCTATAGTTTACTAAAGCTTCAGTGAGTAAATAAAAATGTAATTTATCAATATGATTGTGATTTTGTATAATATGTAAATATTATTTTTATTTATATGAACAATAGTTCTTTTACGGATTTGTAAGAGTTGTGAACATTGATTGTTGTTTTGTATTTAAGACTACTCATAAAAAAATCCATTACACGAATACAATTGAAACGAAAAAAAAAAATCTAAATTAATTGGAACAAAATATAGGTGTTTCAATTGTAGTCATATATTTGATAATTTTTTTTTCAAATGAAAAAAAGATATTTTAAATTAAATAAAAAGGAAACTTATAGTTGTTGAGTTCAATTATATATCAAATTTAGTTAAAAAATAGTTTTAATAATAGTTTGAAAGTTGGTGAGCAATAATGAGTTTATATATAAATATTAAGTTTTAGATTAACAATTAATTTTCACATATATCAAATATCAAGTTAGTAAATTCTTAAATTAAACCATAATACATTTTTTGAATATGTTAAAATCTTTTAGATGTATGACCATATCAAAATGATATTAAAAATAAATATTATATTTAAATTTTTAATTTACAATTAAAATAATTTTACTAAAATAATAATCAAATATTTATGAAATAATAAATCGGACAATTATGCCATTCGGAAGAAGTCTTCTACAGAGAGAAAACTTGTATCAAGTAAGTGGAGAGGAAAGATCCCCAGAGATTTTGATTTCAAATCTTTTATGCTCGGCCATACTAATATAGGAAAGACCTAGCCGTCCCTCCCTTTGAAGTGCATTTATCAGATCAGCTCGGAGAGTAACTAGAAAGAGGGTTAAAGAAGCACGAACCAAAATCCATAATACCAAAACCAAAATCAGAATGAGGAAGAAAAAGATATTGTGATATAAGTCTATTATTCCTTGCATTTTAGGTGTAGTTGTGTCTTGAGATCCTAATTGCCATGGTTCCGCTGCATCACAAGAGAAATTGTGAGGAATAACCATTTGAAAACAATAATTTCTAAAGCAAAAATTCCTTCATTTCTGCGTGTAACGGTGAAACATCCTTAATAAAATATAAGGGATGACAATCTATTTCCCCCCCTCATGTCCACACAGACTTTGGGCCTCATTCTAATTGCACATGATTTTAAAGTTAAAGATCCAATTCCACACGATATCAAAGTTGAAAACTAATTTCTCCATACGTCTTAAATTGTTTTGAAATTATCGGTTTACTATTTACCAATCACCTGTAAACCATGGTTGGGATAAGTTAACCTAAAACTAAACCAATAACACCCGATTAGAAAATGCCATTAACCCGATTTGAAACATAAAACCCAGAAATCAGAAAAATCGATTGCAAAATCGATTCCCCAATTCACGAACCCTAGAATCGATTGTAAAATTTCCTCTAATCTGTAACTGAAGTTTTGTGGTCAATTCATCTTGTCGGGTATGCAATCAATGGCTATGGAGGAGTTTCATGACGTTCCTATATTTAACGGCGATTCCGACTCTGATGATGAAGAGGCGATGGAGCGAAATGCTTTCCACATTGAGGAAGATGTCGCTGCATTCACTGATGAACAACCTATCTGTCATAACGTGTATCCGGAGAGTGAGAGCAATAGTGATAGTGATAACAACGATGATGCTGATAATGGTTCAAAATCAAAGAAACAAAGAACACGAGAGCGTGATCGAGTCAGAAGAGGCAACGGGGAGCTATACATGGGGCAAATGTTCTTCAATGGAGTGCATTCAAGGAATCTGTGCTTGATTACGTTTTGCAGACAAGGCACAATCTCAAACAAACAAGGTACGACAAAACCAAGATTGCGTATGCTTGTGTAGGCCGAAATGTAGATGGACATTGTGAGTGGCGTATCTATTGTTCGAGTAGTGGAGTACCCGAGAGATGGCAGGTTAAGGTGTTCAATAATAAACATAGCTGTGTTCGTAATGGCCATTGCGAGATGATTAAGGTCCCGGTTATAGCTAGATTGTTTGTAGACAAGATAAGAGAAGAGCCATTATATTACATGCCTATGAAGATAGAAGAAATATTCATGGAAAGATGGAGGATCACTGTCTCAAGACCTCAATGCCAAGCTACTAGAAATAAAGCATTGAGGTGGATTGACAAGGAATATGAAGAGCAGTTTGCTCGTCTCCGAGATTATGGTGCTGAGATAATGGAGTCGAATCCAAATTCTACTATAGAAGTTGAGACTGAGAGAAACGAGCAAGATCAAGAGGTTTTCAGCCGTTTCCATGTATGCTTTGATATTCTTAGGAGATCATGGAAATCTACGTGTAGGCCACTAGTAGGAGTTGATGGCTGCTTTTTAAGAGGAAAAATGAAAGGGCAGTTGTTGGTTGCTCTAGGCCGAGATGTTGATAATGTCATATATCCTGTAGCATGGGCTGTTGTGAAAGTGGAAAACATACCTAATTGGGTGTGGTTTATAAAGAGGATTAAGATTGATTTAGGCTTAGACGATGGTGAAGGATATATCTTAATATCGGATCGTCAAAAGGTTAGTGTTTTTTTATTTGTGTCTTGTGATATTTGTATTTGCTTACATCTTCTAAGTTATATTTATCATTGTATATCTCAGGGACTGATAACTGCCGTTCAGATGGAATTGCCAAAGATGAAGCATCGAATGTGTGTTAGACACATATATGCGAATGTGAAGGGGAGACATGCGAAGAAAGATATGCTGAAGCCATTAATTTGGAATCTAGCGTGGAGCTACAATGAATCAGATTATAAGGAAAAATTTGATAGGTTGTTGAAGTATGACTTACAAGTTATGCGGATGTTATGAAAACAAACCCGAAGACATGGTGTAGAGCTTTCTTCAAGTTAGGCAACTACTGTGAGGATGTTGAGAACAACTCCACAGAATCCTTCAACAGGACCATAGTTGGTGCTAGAGAGAAACCATTAGTCCCAATGCTAGAGACCATTGCTCGACTTGCAATGGTGCGTATTGCTAAAAGAGACGTCAAAGCTCGAGCGCACAAAGGTATTTGTACACCCTATGTGACTGAATTTCTCACCGAAGAGCATACAAAGGCTTCTGAGTGCACGGTTTATAGAAGCACAAATGGTCAATGGTTAGTCTATCTTGAAGGATGTTCTTACCGTGTTGTCTTAGAGAAGAGGACTTGTACTTGTATGAAATGGCAACTCACGGGAATCCCTTGTGCGCATGCATATGGCGTGATAATGCATAAGAAGCTGGAGGCTGAGGACTTTGTGTGTGAATGGTTTCATACAACCATATGGAGGAGGACATATCAAGAGGGAATAACTCCAATTAGAGGAGCAAGGTTTTGGCCATGTGTATCAGATGCTTCTGTGCATCAAGCTCCTGAGCCAGATCTTCCTGGTCGCAAAAAGAAGAACAAAAGGAAGAAAGGGAAAAATGAGTCTCCCGTGAAGAAAAAATCGAAGGCTTTAAAACGTGTAATGCATTGTGGGATTTGTGGTGCAGCTAATCATAACTGTCGCTTTCATAAGAAAAATGTAATTTGGTTTGATTTGGTCTCATTTGAATCTCTGATTTTATGTCAATGTTGTTCTGATTTTTGCTTCTTTCTTAAAGCCTCAAGAAGGTGAAGCTTCGCAAGTCTCTCTCACTCAAGGCGAACCTTCACAAGGCGTTCTCACACAGGAATTAGTCTCACTTTCACAAATGTTAGATTCTTCTTGACTTGATGTCTTGGTTTTATGTTTTTTTGTTGTCTTAAGATGGTTAATATGATGTCTTGGTTTGATATTTTTTGTTGTCTTAAGATGGTTGATATGATGTCTTCTGCTGTGTCTTATGACAGGGATTAGGAGTAACATTGCAGGAGGTGACTTAGAATAGAAGAGGAAGACTGTATGAGCTGGTTTTTGTGTTGTGTCTTTCTCTCATTTTCTTTTGGTTTTCGGTACTTGTATTGTGAACATGAATTTAGTTTGTTATCTATGTATGAACATGAATCGGTTTGTTGAATCAGTTTGTTTGAACCTTTGGGTTAAATGAGCATGAGTTTTTCAGTTTTTTGTTTACCTCTTACATTTCTTTACCTTGCCTTGCACAAAGAATAGGACACAAGAACAATATCATTCAATATAATAAAGTGACAACAAGTTTAAAAACATAAGAAAGAAGAATTTGATTGATCCAACAAACAACAAGACACTAGAAGTTCTACAAGACACTACATGTTCTACAAAAGACTCAACCTGCTATTTTCAATAAAGCAAACAAGATCATGCAACTAATCACTACAAAAACACTTATTTTCTTTAAACTTTTTTTTGATTGCACCAACATTTCCTCCACTCTCTCAAAAATCTCTTTCTCCATTTCTCTCATGCTCTCTTTCGATTCCACCAACACCTTCTTCTCAACCTCTACACCTTCTGCCATGATCTTCTGCACCAGTTCTTCAAGTCTCATTGTTTTGTCCTGCAATGCCTCAATTTCTTCTAACAAAGCCTCATCGATCCACTTAAAGGCGTGGTTATCATTCATCAGCTATAAAATAACAGGGAGAATTTTGAATTTTCATTCACTAGCTTCAATAGATTAACTTTTGAATTTACCTTCTTTGATACAGCATAAGCACAACGGTAATAGCGACGGTAAGGATTGTTGTCCGATTTTGACATCAACGCTCTGATTTGCTCCCCACACCAACACTTCTTTGGCACACCAACGACTCTTCCACTATCCCGCACGCTCGACGATCCACTCGAAGCTCCAGAGACATTGCTCATCCTTACGGAACCTACAAACACAAAATCGAAAATCAATCTTCATTCTTCAAAACGACATTCTGATTATCCACATTCTCAGTTAACCAATCAACAAATTATAACCCCAAAAACACAATAATATACTTATCGTCGATTTCCCCCAAATCAATTTCTGAAAATATTCACACAAGTTGATTTCCCCAATTCGATTTCTCGTTTTAGGGTTCTTCACTTCTCTTTTTTAGATTTTGGATGTTTAGAGTCGGGTATAAATGATGATAGGTTACGGGTCGGGTTCATATTAAGTCATGGTTAAATCCATTAGTTCGGGTTTTCAGTGGTTTGGTTTCGACTACAATTGGGTTTACATTGGTTCGGTCATAATAAACCGATAATTTCAAAACAATTTAAGACGTATGGGGAAATTAGTTTTCAACTTTGATATCGTGTGGAATTGGATCTTTAACTTTAAAATCAAGTGCAATTAGAATGAGGTCCAAAGTCTGTATGGACACGGTGCTATATGAAAGTTACGAAGGGAAATAGATTGTCATCCCAAAATATAAAGAATTTTTTTTGTGTACTTAGGCTTCTTTAAAGTACCTCAAGAAATTTGAACAAAAAAATGATACCTCAAGAAATAAACATACAGTATAAACTATAAGACGGTTCTACGCATTGCATGCAACGTTTAATTATTGACGACAAAAAGTCAAAAATTTCGCATAAAATAATTTTTGACGTCAAATTCAACATTTTTGACGCCAAAGTCAGCTTTAGAGATTTTTTCCACTGAAAATTGGAAGCTTTCCCTTAAAGAACAAAACTTTTGGAAGCAGCCTACAGTTTCCCAATGGATGCTCCGGTTCCTCATTCCTCACATACTCTGTTGGAACTCTGCACCAATCTCCTGCAAAAATCTCTCAACTCCAATGGCCGTTTCACGGCGCAATTGGTTCATTGTCGCGTCATCAAATCGGGACTCGTGTTCAGCGTTTACCTCATGAACAATCTGATGAACGTCTACTCGAAAACCGGCTATCCTCTTCACGCACGCAAGCTGTTCGATGAAATGCCTCTGAGAACGGCTTTCTCATGGAACACGGTTCTCTCTGCCTATGCGAAACGAGGAGACATGGATTCCACGCGTGAGTTCTTTGACCAGCTTCCTGAAAAGGATTCTGTTTCTTGGACCACGATGATCGTAGGGTTTAAGAAAATCGGTCAGTATCAAAAGGCTATACGAACTATGGGGGAAATGATGAAGGAAGGGGTCGAGCCGACGCAGTTCACGCTTACGAACGTTCTTGCATCCGTCGCTGCAACTCGCTGTTTGGATACAGGTAAAAAGGTCCACTCTTTCATCGTTAAGCTTGGCCTTCGTGGGAACGTTTCGGTGTCGAATTCGCTGCTTAGTATGTATGCAAAATGTGGCGATCCAATGATGGCGAAAGTCGTTTTTAGTAGAATGGTGGTTAGAGACATCTCAAGCTGGAATGCTATGATTGCGTTACACATGCAGGTTGGTCGGATGGATCTTGCCATGGCACAGTTCGAGCAGATGGATGAGCGCGATATAGTCACTTGGAACTCTATGGTTTCTGGTTATAACCAGTGTGGTTACGATCTCAGAGCTCTAGATATGTTTTCAAAGATGCTGAGGGAGTCTCTCTTGTCACCGGATAGATACACTCTTGCGAGTGTGTTATCTGCTTGCGCCAATCTTGAGAAGCTTCGTATAGGGAAGCAGGTTCATTCGCATATTGTGACGACAGGGTTTGATATCTCTGGCATTGTGTTGAACGCACTCATCTCGATGTATTCGAGGTGTGGAGGGGTCGAGACTGCGCGAAGACTCATTGAACAGAGAGGAACCAGTGATCTCAAGATCGAAGGTTTTACAGCTTTGCTTGATGGGTTCATTAAGCTTGGAGATATGAATCAAGCAAAGGTCATATTTGATTCGTTGAAAGTTCGAGATGTAGTTGTATGGACCGCCATGATTGTTGGATACGAGCAACACGGTTTGTATGGTGAAGCTATAAACCTTTTCAGGTCAATGGTTGGAGAAGGGCAGAGACCAAACAGCTACACACTTGCAGCAATGTTGAGTGTAGCTTCAAGCTTAGCGTCATTGGGACATGGCAAGCAAATACATGGGAGTGCTGTGAAGTCAGGGGAAGTTTGTTCTGTTTCCGTCAGCAATGCGTTGATAACGATGTATGCAAAGGCGGGTAACATTACATCGGCAAGGCGGGCATTTGAATTGATACGCTCCGAAAGAGATACAGTTTCTTGGACGTCCATGATTATCGCGTTGGGACAGCACGGTCACGCAGAAGAAGCACTTGAGCTCTTTGAGACAATGCTGATGGAAAGACTAAGACCTGATCACATAACATATGTTGGTGTCTTCTCTGCTTGTACTCACGCTGGTTTGGTCAACCAAGGCCGTCGATACTTCGACATGATGAAGAATGTGGATAAGATTGAACCTACACTTAGCCACTACGCTTGTATGGTGGACATGTTTGGACGCGCTGGTTTGTTGCAGGAAGCTCATGAGTTCATCGAAAAGATGCCGATTGAGCCGGATGTAGTGACGTGGGGTTCACTGCTTGCTGCTTGCAGGGTTCACAAGAACGTCGATCTTGGGAAAATTGCAGCAGAGAGATTGCTTCTCATCGAGCCAGAGAACAGCGGAGCGTACTCAGCATTGGCCAACTTATACTCAGCTTGTGGAAAATGGGAAGAATCAGCCAAGATAAGAAAGTCCATGAAAGATGGGAGAGTGAAGAAGGAGCAAGGGTTTAGCTGGATTGAAGTGAAGCACAAAGTCCATGTCTTTGGAGTCGAAGACGGGACTCATTCACAGAAGAAGGAGATCTACATGACCATGAAGAAGATATGGGACGAGATCAAGAAAATGGGTTATATCCCTGACACTGATTCTGTACTGCACGACCTCGAAGAAGAGGTCAAGGAGCAGATTCTAAGGCACCACAGCGAGAAACTAGCAATCGCTTTCGGGTTAATTAGCACTCCGGATAAAACCACGTTGAGGATCATGAAGAATCTCAGAGTGTGCAATGATTGCCATACGGCTATAAAGTTCATTTCCAAGCTTGTGGGAAGGGAGATAATAGTGAGAGACGCTACAAGGTTTCACCATTTCAAAGATGGGTTCTGTTCTTGCCGAGACTACTGGTGAGAAAATCAGGAGATGATGAAACCCAACAGTTCTCATATGGTCTAACTCAAGCCATTGTACAATAGATTCAGGTAATACAAAAGTTTTCCTCTTTCTTGCTTTATTTGTTATATGGCTAAGTAAGTTGCATCATCATCATCATTATTGAGTATTAGAATATGACGACATGGCATTTTTAGAGTCTTTAGTATTACTAGAGATCATGGTGCTTAAAGGAGAAGTATATTATGAACGATGGAGATATATTTTGGGGAAAGCATAAAGGGAAATGGAATTGAGAACAATTAAAAAAAGAAGAAGAAGAAGAAGAGAATATGTTCCCTTTGTTACCAAAGCTTTTTTCTTTTTTATAACAATTGACTACATTTTACACATATAGATACATAGATACATGGAGATGAAGATCTTGGTCGGCATAACAGAGAGAGCCCACACTTGTTTGGCTTACGTGGCAGGTCCGGGCAGGTCAATTTGAGATGATCACATAGAGTCACTGCCCGTTCTGCCCCGAGTATTCGTAGTAACAACTAGGGCAGCTCTGTCTCTCTCATCTCTTCATGTCTCTCTCTTCTCTCTATATCTCAGTTTCTAAACAACTCTTTTTTGATCACAAATCTCAAAAAACGCTTCAGTTCATGAACAGATCTCATCTCTTCTAGTTTCTTTCTTACTTTCTTCTTTTATTTCCAATTTCAGAGCTAATTCTCTGGTACGTTCTTCTGTTTCTTGTTCTTAAATTAGTGTTTCTTTTGTCCACAAATGGTAGTTTTGTCTTTCATACATCGTTTTCTCTTTCCCTTCTCTTATATACTGAAATTGTAGGAAAAAGATTTCTCCATATATATATGTTATTTGTTATTACAGATCTAACGGTTTCCGTAACTAATAAATACAGAGTCGACAAAGAAGTGAGACAATGGAGTGGGAAGAACAAGGTTTGAGGTCGTCCCTGGCGCTTGGAAACGCCTCAGTGCTAATGTACGCCGCCTCTGCTTTAACGGCTACTGTGCTTTCGTCTTTGCTCGAGCTCTTCGCTCAGGCAAGTTCTCCTCTCTCTTTTTCTCTGTACCTCTCTGTTTCTCGGACGTTAAAATAAATTTTGTATCCAATAATTTTGTTTTTCTTCTTATTAACAACAACGTTTACAAGTATTCGCGGTCGCATTACAACCTTTCTTGTGTTGATAAATTATATAAAAAATAATCGGTTTACGAAAAAGATAACTAATCTTCACCGACGTGAAGCGTTAGGGTGGTTGGAAAAATAAATTAATTTAAATTTTAGTGAAAAATATTGTGAGGGTGTATATAATAATAGCTATTTGTTGGGGACGGTTGCTTTAATGAGAGAAGATGAGATAAAATAAAATAAAATAAAATATTTTACAAATTGTAGGGTCTAGAAATATCAAAACGGTATATTCCATATATTATGCTTTTAAAAATTTAATAATATTTTAGTACTAGAAGAAGAAGCCCATGTCGGCATTTTTTGGCCCATTTAAGTACTAGAAGAAGAAGCTCGTGTCGGCATTTCCAGGCCCAATTCAGAATTGTGTGATCGTTAAACAAAGATCATTTTCACTCCTTTGGGCTGCTGATCTTTCATTCCTTTGGGCTGCTCATCAAATGTAAAAGATGAAATTACAGGTCGCTGTCGTGGAGGGAGACGTTAGAGAGAATGGGTACGAGGTGGTTGATGCAGAGGATGGCAATGAAGACGGGGATGATGATGATGATGGAGGGGAAGAGGAAGAAGGTAGTGCGGATGATGCAGAAGGAGAGGAGACCAAGAAAGGACCTGTAAGTGGTCCTGATGGGAATGGTGAACCTGGAGATGATGAAGAGGATAACGATGATGAACCTGAAGGGGATGATGACGTTGATGATGATGATGATAACCATGAAAATGGTGATGGTGAGGATGATGGAAAGGAGGATGAAGATGAAGAAGATGAAGATGAAGAAGAGGCAGAGGCAGATGAGGAGGAGGAGGAGGAAGAGGAAGAAGATGAAGAGGAGGAGGCACTACAGCCGCCAAAGAAAAGAAAGAAGTGAACAACACAGCTTTGATCTTCTAACATTTTAGATTCAAAAATCAAAACTTCCTGTGGGTTTTTCACCTAAGGAGAATCTTAAGGGATCATCAGCTTTAAGCTTCGAATTCGATGGTGTCTTTGTTGTTCCATAAACCAAAAAGACTTTGTCTACTGTGTACCGTTATTAGATCTAATGGTACCAGCAATCGCATTTCCTTGTTCTTTAGCCAATCTTAGATATATATATATATATTCATCTCTAATGAGGTCATCGAATGTGATCAAAGTATATAACAACTTCAAGGATCAAATATAACAAAATATCAAGTGCATATGATATGCTTGCCCCAAAGTAAAACTCCTCCTCAAGAACAAACAAGGCAATAATAAATCACGAGACCATACAGATTGCACAGAGGTTGTTAACGAACGAATAATCACAATGATCTTAGTAGGGTAAGACTTGAGATTTATATGTCTCTATCGAACTGTATCGGACAAAGGTAAAAACCAAACGGAAAAAATAAAGGAAGAAAAATAAAACATAGGAAGAAAAAAACCTAAAAAAATACTGACTTTGGTATAAATAAAATCGGGAAATACAAAGTGAAACACAAGAGAAACGTTATATAGAAATCCCAGAACTGCATGTTTATCATTCTCATGCTCAGCTCGCATCATCTGCAAAGTTAGAGTTCAAGAAAACAAACCAAACATAAACCTTAATCAAACGCTTAAGACAAAACAAAACATATGGGAAACAAGAGCAATAACTAACCCTCCTGGTCACATAACCCCCAAAAAAGTGAAAACAAAAGAAATGAAATGGACGAACATCAAAACGATCATAAAACTCAAACTAAAAAAACTAAAACCATCAATGAAACAGCAAAAAAAGCTTAATACGAAAAGTGTTACTTTCCACTTATAGACGCTAGCACCAAAACCATGAAAGAAACAGCAGAAGCAGCTTAATACGAAAGTGTGACTGTCCATTTAAAGACGCTAGCACCAAAACCATTTGAGGGAAGAGATGAAGACGATCGAATTATAAAACTCAGTGTAACATGAAAACCAAAAATAAGCCAAGAAAAGAATCAAAGTTCACATCTGAAAACTAAGCTCAACAACATTCGTACCCCGCCATCACCAACCTCACACAACCAATACAGAAAGAGACATTGATAAAACAAATGGTAAAACCAGATATCGTGAGAAAAAGAAAAGAAACCCAAAACCAAAAAAAAGGAAAACAGACGGAGATGAAATAACCAAAAATGAAGACAACATAAGTTTTGTGTGACACATCATCCGGGCATCTAAGCTTGAAAAGAGTCCAAGCAAGTTTCATGAACCTAATACAGGTTTGTAATTCTTGTAACAGTTCCTCTGTCTAACTATTTCAGCCAGTAGATTAACTAGTATACAGATTAAGAGTCATCATGCCAGTTGAAATTCCATACTATCAAAGAGCCTACACATTAAGCCAAAGACCTACATACCTACTATGATTCATGCAACATATTCTTCCCCAAAGACAATGAAACCACATGATGAGCACAGACATTGCTATAAAACACAAAAAGGTTTAAAGTGAGCGTACCATGAATAGCCATGAAACGAGCCACCAGCATCCGAATCTTTACCATTCCCTCTTTTCCCGTTATCCGAATCAGAATAAGCATTAGGCAGACTCTGGCCTCTAAAGTAAGACCCGAGAGATGATAGACCAGCACCAACGCCTGGCTCACCAACACCACCCATCTGACTCGACTGTAACAAATCATGGCTCAACGCACCAGAACCAAACCCACCTTGGGTCAAAGCATTCGCCAACATCGGATACATGTAACCTCCGGCTGCTGCTGCTGCTAAAGCTGGATTCCCCAACATCCCGGTTCCATAAACCGGATGGTATTGGTTCCCGAGCATAAACGGCGATGCAGCCATTCCACTACCGGCAAACATATTTTGCCCTTGCGCTTGCTGTTGCTGGATCTGACCATGATTAGCCATCGGACCCAAACTTATCTTCACCGGACCCGCCTGGTCTTGCCCCTTCCCCGACGCCGCAGGCCCCATCGAGGCAAGCTGGCACGTCGCCGTTCGGTTAAGAATCCTCTTCTTCGGCTCCTTGAGCGCCTCTCTTGCTCCTTTCCTCGTCTTGAACATAACAAATCCAAAACCTTTAGCCTTGCCCGTGACCTTGTCTATAACGACGGTGCACTCTTCGATCTCGCCGTAGCCTTCGAAGACTCCGAAAAGAGTGTCGCGAGTGGTCTCCCATGGAAGGCCGTAAACGAAGATTTTCCTGTGGGTGACGTCACGGTCGGCGGCTTCCACGACGGCGGAGTAGATCGACGATCCGATTTGCGCAGCGGAACAAACGAGGTCGACGAGCTGCTCCTTGGAGTAGGGCTGCAGAAGCTCCCGGAGCTCCTCCGGGTCGAATTCTTTCTCCGACTCCGAGCCGCTCGAATCGGAGCTTGAAGTGGAATACGGCGTCGAGGATTCAGGTTGTTGGTGATTAGCAGATTTATTGATAACCTTCTGCTTCTTATCGGTGCTGTTGGATTCGGATTTCACGAGCTTGCGCTTCTTAGATTTGTCTAGGGTTTTCGCCATTGCAGAAAGAGGATAAGAGTCAAGTTTAGGGATTTTTGAATTTTTGGTATTCGGTTTTTCTTTGTCGGGTCGTGAGTTCAATACGGTTTTATATCCTTTATACTGTACTTATAACTCATCACCAGACCGGTATGATTTACTTTTATCCCATGAACCGGAATGGTCTCATCACCAGACCGGTATAATTTGATCTAATATATGGAGTTTGTTTGACAAAAAAAACAAAAAAAATACTGTACTTACGACGGTTTCAATCGCGCGTTTGAAGTCAATTTTGCGGTTCAATTAATATTTAAATACTACCAAGCAGCCAATTGCGTTTCTGACCGCTAAATATACATGTTCACTTATTTTCATATTCAACAAACTCTCGAGTAGCATCGGATCTTGGAACTTAAAGACGTCACTGCGTAAAGACACAATCTTTTTGAACACGAGAACTTAAAAGAGAGTTTTTTTTTTCTATTCTAAGATCTTCACAGCACCATATGAAAGAAAAACAAAGCCCTCTCAAAAAAAAGAAGAAACAAATGATCAGAACCAAACCAAAGCTGAAGCAGACAATACATCAGTATGATATGATTCATATGTGTATATAGCTGCAGAGAAACATTGGAGAGGAAGAAAAAATCCAAAATCCAAAAAACTGAAAACAAGATTGGCATCGGTCGGTCACTAAAATCCAGTTTTGAAAGAGAAATTCTAGATATGAACAGTGAGAATGAACAGTGAGCGAGTAAACAAAGTTCAATCCAGAACATACATAAAACAGGTGAAAACAAACTGGGTAGAAAGACCAAGGAAGCAAAAACATCTTGAATCTCGGGGACTGAGATCGAAAAACATACAAAAGAAGAAGTGGATGTGAGAAATGAAAGTGAGAAGTGTATAAAATCTTTGCTGGCAAACATTCAAACAATCAATGTTTGATAGATCGAAAACTCCAACGTATTCCCAGAAAAATCAACCGAGTTCTTGAAAAAGTTTTGGCAGTAGAGGATGAAACAATTTAAAACAAGAACGTACCATTACGTCTGGTCCTACAAACGGGTCTCAAGACAAGTGCAGATGAAGATACAGACTTTTAGCAGTAATGACATATAGTGGACACAACTATAAATGTCATGACCTTCTTTCGCAGCAGTATAGACCAGACGTTGATGGCATACCGGAAAACAAAAAACAAGAAAACTCCATACGCGAAGCCAAACCAGAAGCGTGTTTGATAGTAGAAAGAGTACACAAAAACCATAACGGGGAAAACCAAAAGGGGAGGAAAACAGAAGATGGCAAACTACATAAAACCTATATGATCATGGTAATTAAATATCCTGAAAAAGAGAGCAAATTTCACTACTTAATGAGAAAAAAAGAGAGCAAATTTCACTTCAGAACAGTCTTTTGCAAGAAAAACGAAGCAGAGCAGATAGAAAGAGAAAGAGGAATTTAAGCACACATCTCCCTCAGAATGAGTCACCATGTTACTGAAACTAAAATAGTAGGCTCGAAACAGTAATGTAGCATATAAAGAAACAAAAACAACTCCGGCAATTCCCAAAATATCAAAGTCGCAGCTACCAGATTAGTCATAACCCTAACCCTAAAAATTTGAATGTCTAATCGAAGAAGACAGAACAAATACCAGAGAACAAGAGTCATACCCACTTGGTCCATCTTATCTCATATACCCACGTTCACCACCATCAAAGCCAGGACCACCAACACCATTAACCTCACCATTATATTGCCCCGCCATTCCCATATGGTTCGGTGGCCCCTGGTTCATCATACCCGGCCCAAACATACGATAGTTTGCTAAACCAGGAAACATTTGATTACCCATTAATCCACCATACATGGGGTTATAACCAGGAGGAGGCTGAGCTAGTCCGTAAAAGGGCATGTTCTGTCCAGCATACATTGCCATATTCAGCTGCTGATGTCCCTTATCGAGACCTTGCACAAGCCCATGAGCCAAATCCAGCCCAGGCAGTGCCATTTCAGTCTGGTTACCCGAATGCGTTAGCTCAATCTTCACAGATTCAACCGGTTCTCGCGGCTTTCCAGGACCAGACTGCTTAGCCGCGGCTAGGTTACAGCTCACGGTGCGATTGTACATTCTCTTCTCCGGGTTCCTCAGCGCCTCCCTCGCTCCTTTGCGCGTTTTGAACATCACGAAGCCGTACCCTTTGGCTCGTCCAGTGTCCTTGTCCATGACCACCGTGCACTCCTCAATCTCCCCGTAGACCTCGAAAGCCGCCTTGAGGTTCTCTTGAGTCGTGTCCCACCCGAAACCACGCACGAATATGTTGCGCCTGGCGCTATCTCGATCCGCCGATTCAAGCACGGCGGAGATCAGCCGTGAACCCTTTTCCGCGGTTTTGTATATGAGGTTAACAAGCTCTTCCTTCGAGTATGATTCCAGCAGGTGCTTGATGTCTTCCTTGTCGAGCTCGAAATCCGAATCGTACTCGTTTGTGGTGGTGGTGGTGGTGATAGTGGTGGTGGTAGCAATCGGGACCGTAACGGGAAGCGAATCATCGGAATCATCGGAACGGGCGGTTTCGGTCTCTGACTCGTCTTCGGATTCATCTAATCTCTTGCGTTTCTTCTCGCTCTCCTTCGATTTCTTATGTGGCTTCTCTTCGACTTCGAGTTTCTTCGATTTCTTCTTAGATTTCTCAGGTTTCTCGGCCTTCTTGGATTCGGATTTGTGCTTCTTAGAGATTTTCTTCTCCCTCACCGCGAGTTCTTCCGCCTCACGCCGCTTCCTCTCCTTCTTCTCTTTCTTCTCCTTTTTCTCTTTCTTCCGACTTTCTCTATCTCTATCTTTCGCCATTGTTGACGGCAGCCTCGACTAAAACCTAGAAGCGAGAAGAGCTCCTATTAAATAGGTTGCCAATAAAACAGTGTACTTTCTGTATATTTATAATAAATTGAAATAACCAACAAAAACGTCTGGGTGGTGTAGTCGGTTATCACGCTAGTCTCACACACTAGAGGTCCCCGGTTCGAACCCGGGCTCAGACACTTCTCATTTTTACTTATTTTTTAAATTCTTTAACACAACAGTCTCAAGAATCTTTAGTTACCTTTACAAGACCAGTAATTTCAGAGGTCCTTTTTAACTGATTCAAAAAAGTATTCAATACGTTACCAAATCCTAGTAGCTAATACACTCCGAATATGATTCTTATTAATTACCATAATCTTGACTAAAGAACAGTTAATTAATGTGGTCCTTCGCCCGTGAATTTTCATGATCTAAAAGGGCAAATACGTCATTATTCTACTTTCTGCCGGCGAAGAACCGGTGCCGGGTCACTTCACAATTACTTGTTTAACGGCAACAAACACCTAACCAAAAAACTCGAAATAAGAGATTTAACGAAATCGGATCGAAAGCTCGACGAACTCTCTCTCTCTCTTTTCTCTCTTTGGGTATTCGTGGGTTTTACCCAGATTTCGGAATTCGATGGCGGACGAACTAGAATTGTCGCCGTTGGTTCCGCCGCCGCCGATGGTTGAACCTTCCGAGATCGATCTCGAAGCGGGACATGGTGAACAGATTCAGTGCCGAATCTGCCTTGAAACTGATGGTAATCTCTTCAAAACCCCTGGATTCGCATCTCCTTGGTGGGTTGCGTTGCTTTTTGGCTACTGATCATTGGTTGGTCAAGATTGAGTTCAGTTATTGGAATGATGAAACTCTACTCTTACTGATTTTAGATCATATATTGTTCTGATGTGATTTGGATTAGTCTTACTTATAAACTCTCGTTAAAGACTAGTGATTTAAATCTGTGCCAGAGAGAGAGAGTGTGTTTTGTTCTAAGTTACTTGTTGATTCAAACTCCTTTATTGATCAATGGTCCTGAATTGTGTTTGTATGTCAGGTAGAGATTTCATTGCCCCATGCAAATGCAAAGGAACATCAAAGTATGTACATCGTGATTGCTTGGATCATTGGAGAGCAATAAAGGTACATAAATTTTATACATTTGATCTCAACTTTGGTCCATGCTCGGAAAAGCCATTAGTGTTTCCGTAAAGCTGGTTGCTTTCACTCTAAAGAAGTATGATCTTGGAGAAAAAACTCAGACTTGATTATATGCTGTATGAATGATGATTAGAGAGTGTGATGTTGTTTAGTCAGATGAGTAGAAGGTGTTAACGACACAGTAACCTCATTTGATTTCAGGAAGGTTTTGCGTTTGCACACTGCACAACGTGCAAGGCTCCATATTATCTGAGAGTTCATGGTGCCGGAGACAGGAAATGGCGGACATTGAAGTTTCGCTTCTTTGTTACTCGAGACATTTTATCCATATTTCTTGCTGTTCAGCTTGTAAGCATTCAATCTTCATCTGTGCTTTCTCTTCTTACATTAATTTTTTTTTCATTTGGTTTGACTTCATCTTCTCACAGGTAATTGCAGCGTTGGCCTACATGGTCTATTTCATAGATAGTTACCAGCAATCATGGCTTCGTCATATTTGGGGCTTTGACAGTGAGGTCACGTTTTATTACATGTGTGGTATGATACCAAACTATAACATCTTAATGCTCCTCTGTATCGATATAGTATTTCAGTAAAAACGTCTGCTAAATGTCAGTGCTAAGTGCATCTTTCATCAGTTATTAGCATGCCTAGAAAATGCTTGCTTTATTTGTGGCAAGTTATTCTTGAATTACATGAGGATGCTTGCTTTGTTCAGGTGCTTTATTATTCTTCGCTCTTCTGGGTCTATCTGGATGCTTCATAACTTGCTACGATCGAAGAGTTCGCAATGACTTAGCTCAGCCTTGCCGTGAATTGTGTCTCTGTTGCTGTCAGCCTGGGTACAACTTTTATATCATACTACTCTCTTTACTTTTTTCAGATAGTAATAAAAATAAGAAATAGTCAACTCGGTTTCTCCTCTTCTTTTGTTTGCTTAGATGCAAAGTTCTTGATCTTACTTAGAAACTAGATGTCCATAAGTAGGTTTCATTATCTGCAAAAAATCATGTAACTAGTTTTACTGATCTTGCAGCTGCTGCTGATACATTCATTCCACTCTTTTGAAAATCTTACATCCAAACTAAATACAGAGTTTCAAGCAATGCGAAGATACATAAATTTGTCTCTAGTTCAGTTGACAGAGACACATACAAAAGTATATCATAGATCATCTTTAGGCTCGAGTTGACTTTACCCGTTTACTGAAACATTCATATCAATATGCAGGATATGCACAGACTGCCATCTACCGGGAACTATATGTATGTGGGCAGATTGCACCGCGTGTACCGAAGGCTGCGCAAGTGCAGTTAGCGAATGTGGAGGTTGCCTCGGAGGTGCAGGGGAAGCTGGATTGCCATTGATCTTCGTAATGGCACTAGTAGTTCTCGGTTTATTTACGGTCATCGGTATATTCTACAGCGTATTGGTTGCAACCATGGTTGGACAACGCATTTGGCAGCGCCATTACCACATTCTCGCTAAGAGAATGCTAACAAAGGTGAGATCTTTTTTATTACCTTTTTATGGTTTCTGCTTAGCAGTTGTTTTTTATCCTTCGATGTGATTATCTTACTCTTGATTTGGCATTAGGAGTATGTGGTTGAGGATGTAGATGGGGAAATGATGGGATCTGAATGGTCGCCACCGGCTTTACCGTCTGAGCATGTCCAGCAGCTTAAGACGCTTGGTCTTCTGTGAAGACCATATTGGCTTGTGATTGTGATTGAAACTATGGAAGATTTTTCAACTGTGATCACAAAGAAATTCATCTGACTAAGTGGTGACTGGTGAGAGAGAACTCAAGAGTTTAAAGCTTATGGATGTTCAAATCTTAGAGATGCTTCGTATTTTGTAAAGAAATGCTCAAACTTTAGAGTCAGAGACCTCTCCCATTGACGAATTGAGCTTTTGTGTTGATGAATGTTTGTTCCTAACGTTTTTTTTTTAATATAGGTAAATATCCACATGTGTTGGTTCAAATTTGGTCCGTGTGTGTTCTAGCAATTATACTATCTTCTTTTGTGAGCTTGTCTATTTTTAGTATACAGATTCTCTCATTTTTTTCCTTCTCGTGAAACTGAGAAGCTCTCTATTTTGCTAGTTTTGGTTGAACAGATTTTCTAATTTCTACCATCTTTTTCTGCATCTTCTTTCTTCCCAAAGTTGCCTGATATTAAAAATAAAATAAAAAACTCTTAACTTTGGCATTATTGTATTATTTGTTGACATTCTGCTTTGCATGCATTGTAACTTTTACGTGAGGAAAATTATATTAAGGTATTTGTAATCTTTTTTTTTTGAGATATGGAATTTGTAATCTTAAGAGGTTAACTAGACTGTTATCCATTGTTGTTGAAATAGTAGCAGACAAGCTCACAAAAGAAGGTAGTATAGAACATGGTAGAAATGAATTTTTGTAACTATTAACAAATCAAGTATTGAGCCGACCTTGCAACAATGCATTGATATGTTCATAGTACATAATATAAGCATTTAAAAGAATTAAAAAAATGTGAAAACTGAATGAATGTTTAAAATATTTAAAAGTAGTGAAATCACATTTTGAAAACGTGACCAAAATGAAGGACCACTCTCATCAGCAATAAAATTGGTTGAATTGCTTGGTTGATAGATTTCTAAAATTATATAATGATTTTTTTGTCTTTTCTACTTTCTTTCTTTTTTCACTTTTCCCACTTCTTTTATTTCAGTATTCTAAGATTTTCTTAATATACAAATAAGTTAGAGACTAAGACAGTAGAAGTGTCTAGTTGTTTCGTTTTGTGTGGCCTTTAGGGTCAACTAGGGACAAATTGTCCCCTGCTCTCTTTTTATTGGATCCAAACTCTTTGTTCGTAAGCTACTCTTCAAGGAACAAAGTTTTAAAATTTAATCATATGTTAATTAAATAAAATTCATATAGTATTAAAGTATCATAAGCATGTAACCGCTGTAACTCAAAAGCTATTCAGACACGATCGTAAATTCTCAAATATGTTAGAGTTTAAGCGCGTAGATCTGTTATTTGGTTAAAAGAAGAATTGATTAAGTTTTTTTAACCTAATTTTCTTAAACACTATAAACTTGGACTTTTTTTTTACAGAAAATGTATCTAGGTTTATCACAATTGTTTCAAGATGGCATGAATTTAATAGAACTATAAATATGTTCTTTGTATATTATGAACGATTAGTTTTAAGTGTATAGATAATGATTCCAAATTAGAGAATCATCTATCACTTTCGGGCGTATGAATAACACACTCTTGTATAAGAACGTAACGTGTTCTTATTGAAGATATATATCTTTTTAGAAGTATTTTTGTTTTTCTTATCACGGAATAAGATTGGAGATTATATTGAAATACCATCTTGAATCGCGTAAACGACAATGTTGTTCGACAAAGCATATAGTTATGGTCTGGGGCGGATGCACATACACAGTTTGGTGACACGTACTCTATACTGAATTTTTTTTTGGATAGTAGTTATATATATAGACTGAAGTTTTATTTATCCATTAGTGTATTCAAACGATCAAAATTAAAATTCCATTCAAAAATCCAAATTAGAAACAGTATAAAATTGTGTTGACTTACTTATCCACAATTTTTATACTAAGTTTTCGTTTTTTCTACTTGTGTTTTCATATTACTTAGTCCAATACCGGTCGTTGTGATATAGCACCTAAAGCCCATAAAAAATGATGCCATTTGGATATGAGAACTCAATACAACATGAACCATAAACATTAACTAAATCTATTGCTCTTTTATGAAATTTGATGCTCTGAAATTGTTAATATAATTTGGTGTCTAAAACTTTTGCTTTACGGGCTTTAGATCAGAGCTGGTCCTAACATAGCCAATAGTAAAATCATTGGGTAAGTTTGTATGAGTTTTTTTTTTAAATCTTTTTGTCACATTATATTTTAATCTATTTTTTTTTTCATTTCATTTCATATATATATATATTTTTTTGTTATTAGTACTATATTTTTGATAAATTATTTTATTAATTAAAATAAATAAAAATATATGCCCCATAACTTATGGTTGATTGTCTGATTGGTGACAGAAAATGGAAAAATGTTTTTAGTAGAAAGAAAGAGGACGATAATCGATACCAAAATAAGTAAAAGTAGTGGCACCAAGTTAATAAATTCGCTTTGATACTTTTTTACTAATCAAATCATTTCATTATGTTTTTTTATAGATAAGCATCAATTTAACAAAACTAATTAAATGAAAGGCACCAAGTTAATAAATTCAAAGTGCTCACCTTTATATTCTTATCAATTCAACATAAAGAGAGAGATAATAACATAATGTACACTAACCAATTACATAAATTTGAAACCACATAAGCACCATTCTATAATTTAAGTCAACCCATCATAACATTTCTCTGAAGAATATGTATAACAGCACAATTTAGCACTAACACAGACTTAAATAGATTATCATCGGCATCATCATATAGCCATGTTAAACATATATAAGTGTAAGGTTAAAAAAAACATATAAATGTGTGTGTTTATGTGCGTATAAGCTAATTTAGAGGGATTACACATAAACATGCATGCATGCATATGATTATATTGTTTTGTTTTGACAGAAAGATGCAACCTACTTGTTTTTTTCTTTGGAGTCAACAACCAACTTGGTTTAAACCGTAATTCCGCATATCCGTTGCTAAAAAAAAAAATTAACATTAGCTAATATGTCTGTGTATATACTTAAAAATAAGTCCAAATATATAATATTGTACGATATGGTGGGAGATTAGTGGCCAATAAGTTCTTATCTGACTTTTTATTCGCCTTCTCTATTTTTTTTTATACTAACATACTTCGAAATGTGGTGTGTATAGTTTAAACCTTTTGTTTCTGTCATTTGTGCTTTGACTAAATTAATAGTTAATATATAGGGATATAAATTCATATATTAAATAATTTAACTAAAAGCAAGTACATTCCTAGTGGTTCAACCACACCAGTTACGATGGCTTGAGGGAAAGACGAATGTGGATAATATTGTATAAATATATAGTAATATAATTAATGTTCGTGAACGTTAAAATAGTATCCATATGGGATAATTTAATCGCATCTGCAAAACTTTGACGATAACCTTAATTTAGAAACAAGGTATCCGATTTAATTATTTGTAATTGGCGATGTTCTTGGGAATTTAGTGGCTTCAGCCAAAAAAAAATAAGTGGCCCTGACCTTCTAAACTTTTTTTTTCTTTTTTAAATTGTATGAGAAAATGTCTAAAGTTTTCGGTATTTATTTTTATAAAGTAGGTTTGTAACCAGCTGAACTATAATAATAATAATATCAAAGGTGTGGTGGACTAATGATAGTGCAAGGGTTTAGTTTCTTTGTGCCTCTTGTTTAAACCTCTTTTACTATGGATAGTTTAAAACTCTTTGATCTTAAATAATAATAATAATAATAATAATAATAATAATAATAATAATAATAATAATAATAATAATAATAATAATAATAATAATAATAATAATAATATTGAAAAAAAATTGCTTAGTTGTATACTAAACCCAAACCTCTCCTATTTGTACTCAATGTTGCTCATATATGTAATTGTTCAAGCTATTATAGGTTACATGTCGTACAAGCCACTATAAGAAAATTAACACTTACATCTCATTCTTGGTCTATTCCAAGTCCTCACAATCGATAACTTGCCGTTTATTCCCTCAATAATGCAACATAAGTTTCACTGTTGTGAGTTTTGTCTATGCCCTGAACCACCGAGAAAATCGTGTGGACCTGTGCATGGCAAGAACTTGAATTTTGCAGTGTATACAATCATCCCCTGTCTACAACTCTTTATATAATTTAAGGCTACTTTAATCAAATTCTCGGCCCTTTAGAGCAGAAGATCGTACCATTCAATGTCTGCATGGTTACCTTGAGTTTTAAATTTATCTTGATAATGTAGCCATTTCGTTCTATTCGAGTTGCCGTATAGCTACACGTTAACGTAGTGGAATCATCATCATCAGACCAATTCTTTACATAGCCAAAATTCTGGACATAATTTTGGGCGACAACCACCTGCATGCAGATTCTAGACTACGTACATAGATGCTTGCGGTAGTCTCTTTTCTCTCTTCACTCGTCTTGCTATATATATGGACCATATGGTCATCTCCACTGTGTAACATTTACTATATATCGGATATAAAGTTGTACATTAGTCTAGGTTAAAAAGACTAGTAATGCATGTGATCCCAAAGGAGAAAAGTACAAGTACGTAGATTAAAGTTATATATGTTAAATAACAACTAGTAATATGATTCCAAATCATAATTATATATTATGAAACGTTTGGCTCAGACGAATGTATTCCTATATAAGTTCGGCTTGGTCGGACTCAGACATTAAATGGTCGGTGATTTTTAAACTAAAAATGATGACAAATTTTAAGTAGCATACTAGCTAAAACCCATGCAAGAGTTATAGATTATTATCATTTGGTCGTATAATGCCTTAAGAGCCGACCTTAAAGCGAAGGCCACCATTTTTAGATAACGCCTCCCCCTTTTTAAATCGATCGATCTTAGATTAATGTGATTTGTTTTTTTGTCATCCACTTGTTCATTATATTGTTACTAGAAACTTATCTAATGAAGTTATGCTAACTAATGTGATTTTTAAACTCGATGCTTTGTTTGTCTCACTGACGAATAAATACATTATCATAAACGACTAAACCTAAATTTTTGGTTAAGAAAAAAAAAGGTAACCAACTTTTTTTTTGATTAAAAAGGTAACCAACTTGTAGCTTAATAACTTTGATTAATGTCAATCGCTACCGTGAGTTGTTGATTTTTTTTTTTGCAACTGATGTTTAACGCATAGTCATAGAAATATGATTGTATTGGCTCCTAACATATATAAAAAAGAATAATACGAGTACTAATTATTTAAGAAGACATTTTTTCTAACATGTAAATTCATTCTCTCCATTTTTGTCCACACTTTCATTTAAATACTAAAACAATATACACGAGTCAGCCTAATACTTTAACACGTGGAGCGAGCAGCGAGGTATGCTTTATTTGATTTCGTTATTTATCATGAAAGCATTAACTGTTACAATTGCTCACGAAGAAATTATAGAAATATGTTAAAATGATACGTTTTCTTCATTTTATTGCGATTTTTCTATCTTTCGAATTTTTATTTATCTAATTTATTTTTACAGTTTAGTAGCATCCTTTTTCTGTCAGGCATTCAAATCTATAATGTTTTAAAATTTTGTAATATTAATTAACTTTTATAAGAAATATAAATATACTAGTCGTAATAAGTACTAAGAATATACCAAAAAAACTGATGAGTTATCTATTAAAAAAATATATATATATAACTGGGATAGTTTTCTTTCAGCTATTTTTTTCATTCGGCGATAACATATCACTCCAAGTCAGTGAATTAATCAATTAAAGAAAGGAAAATAAAGAAAGGGGAAAAAAGAGAAAGCATGGAGAAGCATAATGATGCAAATGGAATCATAACAAAACGGTCGTAAAGCATGAGTCGTTGTTTCTCTATAAATTAAGACACTTCTCTTCATCATTACCAAACTCATCCTTCACTTATTTTCTTCACTACACTTCCTCTTTGGTCTTAACGATAATCAATTACTATAATTGTCATAATTGAACTAGAAAACCAAAAAAAATGTCTTCGATTGGAGCAAGCTACGCACAACTACAAGTCATGCAGAAGAAGCAGAAGGAGAAGATGATGATGAAGAAGAGATTGGAGAAGGAGAGAGATGGCAGCTGCTTAGACGGTGGAGAAGGCCACGGAGTTTCTTCCGCTGCCACTGGAAAGACTGGTAACAGAATATTTCCGGTCAAGTCTTCTCCGTCGTCGACTTATGAAGTAGTAGAACGACAAGAGTGAAGTGTGAGATTTGTCTTCTGTTTTAAGTTAGACTTTGTGTGTCTCTCTGTGTGATGCAATGTTATATTAGTGGTCGTCTTCTGTGTCCAGGCTTTAAGTTACGTAATTTGTGTTGCTTTGTTGAATGGTATTGTTGGCAAATTGTATCAAAAACATTGTATTTTTCTTAGATTTCTATCATGTAAAATATTTCTCTATTGGCAATGTATTGTGAATTCGGTTTTTGGTCCAAATTTTACCAAATTGTGAGCTTGCTTAAAACACGAATGGTCTATTAGTCCAAGTGTTCTAAAAAATGTATTAGCTGCCGCCTAAGCTTGATATTGAGATTAGACTGGCAATTTGTTCTGTAAAGTTGGCACCTAATATAAAGTTGTGCACATGAGTAAATTTAAGTTTCAATGAGCTTTTGAATTGGTCTAATACGTTTTACCTCACTTAATAGTTTTTTTTTTTGTCTCACAAAGATTATTTGTAGTCTTAAGATAATGACTTAAACTTGAAAACCGAACACTCACAGCTTTAGACAGTAAGCTATACGATATCTGTTAACTTTCTCCTATATGGATTAGTTTTTGGTTTGATTTGGAAGGAAAACAGAACCTGCGGCTTAACAGACACTAAGATTTGAATGCCTATCCTTTACGATCCACGGCTTAAATGAGATCAGGTTTTGGACAAAGACTATGGATTGGTTTTTGGTTTGATTAAAAAAAATTTACTATATCCTTGATGTACTTACTAGTTAGAAAAAGTATTTAACAAAATTATTATATTTAATGTAGTATGCTCTAGTTCCTTAATTTTTATATACAAGTTTTGGTTGTGTGTCGAGTTTTTTTTAGCTACTAGACTCGAACTAATCACGTAAATAAAATAGAGTATTCCATCATAGATGTAGGCAAAAAAAACATCACATTCTATGTTTACATTATCATTTTAAACCTCTTGATTGAATGCAGTAATTCTCTATTTTGGTGCATGTATCTTTGTCGTAAGCTCTCTCATTTTCGTTTAAATCGATATAGCTTAGGGCCCCCCTTGTAAATGGGGCTCCAAAGTTGATGGAACGTATAATCTAATGATTTTGTCAAAATCATTTTATGTTTCTGATGCATCTTTATTTGATTTTTTATGTCTTTACTTTCTTGTTTGATAATCTTTTTTTCTGTTGTTAAGTCTTAAAATCAAAGATGGTCTAATTATTCGGAAAAAATTACAAGAAAACATTTTGTAGTGTTACCTTAACTTTAACGAGCTTGAGTAAAGAGATTATTCTATCGGAACTTATAATTTAATGATTTTGTCAAATCATTTTATGATTCTGATGCATCTTCATTTTTTTTTTATGTCTTTATTTTCTTGTTTGATAACTCTTTTTTATAATCCAACTATTCGGAAAAATTTACAAGAAAAACATTTTGTAGTGTTATGTTAACTTTAACCAGTTCGAATAAGAAGATTATTGTATAGGAAGATTCGAAATTTACTATATAAAAAAACATAAATTAGAGATGATATATGCATTTACAATGATGTGGAATTAAATTTGTTGCGAATTATAGGATAATCATTATGGATTTTAAAGTGGTTGATGTTAATATCATGAAACAGTGGTAAGTAATCAGATTGAAATTTTTTATATGCTTTATTAGGAAACAAAATAGGCCGTTTAATCAGTTAGACATTTGTTCACATATGTAGAATCATATGCAAAGCTTTGCATATGATGTATAAAACTATTTTGATATCATATTTTCCTGTAGATGCAATAGTAGTACAAAGTTAAAATGCTTTCTTCGCAGTAATGCTATCGGAATCTCAAAAGAAAAAAAATTCTAACTCTGCTCTAATTATAGAACAAAAAACTGGCCTATACAGGTTTCGAACCTGTGACCTTCGCGTTATTAGCACGACGCTCTAACCAACTGAGCTAATAGGCCATCTTGCTCTGACTGCACTAAACTTAGTTATATGGTAAATGTACTCTTTGTAACTCGAAAAGTTTCTTCCATCTTTCTCTCTGTACCCCCAAAAATCTGGGCCTGGGCGCAAAATCTTCTCTCTCGAAGGAAGAAAAAGAGAAACGACGAGGTTCGGAGTCTGGGAATCTAATTTATCTACCAGATTTGTTCTGTTGTCGATAACTGTGTTTGTGCTGAAGGGATTTGGTAAGAAAACGATTCAATGGAGTGTGTAGTTCAAGGAATCATTGAGACACAGGTGCGTCTTCTTCGATTCTAAGTGCTCGAATTCATTAAAAAGAAGAAGATTTTAGCTTTGCTCTGAATGCTAAATGGCTAAACCTAGGTCGAAGATTTGAACCTTGATGATTTTGTTCTTATGGTTATTTAGAAAATTAGGAAACCTGATGAGAGTTTCTTGTCAAATTTCAGCATGTTGAAGCGCTTGAGATCCTTCTTCAAGGTCTTTGTGGTGTTCCACGCGAACGCTTGAGAGTTCATGAGCTCTGCTTGAAAAGCGGCCCAAATCTTGGTAAGCCAATTATGAAAAAATTGTCATACTCAAGTTTTGAAAATCATCGATCGAAATAATCCACATTGTGAATCTTCTTGACCTTCAGGAGTTGTATCCTCAGAAGTTAGGCTTTTATGTGATCTTGATCAACCAGAGCCCACATGGTACAGCTTCTTGTTCTTGCTGTTTGTATATGTTCTTGCTTTTATCAAATGAATCTTGTAATCAAGAAGAAGGATCTTGATGATATGATAGGAGTGTTAAACATGTTGGAGGTGCGATGAGAGGTGCAGGAGCTGATCAAATCTCTGTTATGGTCAGAACCATGATTGAGAGCAAAGTGAGCAAGAACGCTCTGCGTATGTTCTACGCGCTCGGTTACAAACTCGACCACGAGCTCCTCAAAGTCGGATTCTCATTTCATTTCCAACGGACCGCGCACATGAGTGTCTCCGTGTCTTCAGTCAACAAGATGCCCAAGATTCATGCCATAGACGAGGCTGTTCCTGTAACACCCGGGATGCAGATTGTGGATGTAACGGCTCCAGCAACACCTGAGAACTACAGCGAAGTAGCAGCTGCGGTTTCATCTTTCTGTGAATTTCTCGCCCCGTAAGAGACCCATCTCGTCTTTTTTCTTACACTCTGGATAGATAGTGTGTGTCTTCTTTGATCTAATTCGTTATTGTGTTATGTTTTCTTGTACTTTCAGGCTTGTTCACTTGTCGAAACCGTTTATCTCCACTGGAGTTGTGCCAACCGCTGCTGCGGCTGCTGCATCTCTTATGTCGGACGGAGGAGGTACTGCGACATTGTAAGAAGTTAAAAGTTAAAGACACATGTTCTTCACTGTGTTCTCTCATGTTACTACATCACTTGTGAACCATTAGAGTTGAATGCTTAATATCACGTGAAGGAAGCAATATATAAAAAAAGAGTTTTAACTTCATCCATGGGGAGATAATTCGAGATGATTGTTGGTGTTGACATTTGTTTTTAAGAATTTCCTTATCGATTTGGTGGTAGACAGATATATCTACTATCACCATCGTAACGGACTGATTAATCGAGTTTGGTAACAAATCAACATATGGGACGAATAACAACTACTGCAAATCTTACTTATTTTCTTTTTCTTATTTATTTATCGATTTAACCGCAACCGAGCACATTAATTCTATGATTGTAACACATTTTTGTGTTGACTGCTTCAGTTGTGAAATATCCTAGCACCAAATTATTCACATGGAGAAACAAACATTCTCGTTTCAGTACTTGCAATTTTTTTTTTCCGTGGTTTTCATGTTAAAATTACATGCGTTGTTACAATATGTTAAATAATGAATCAAATTAAATGTGTTATTCTGTTACTTTTCTGTCAAATATATATAAACCCTTATACTATATAAGTACACATATATATGTATATAGAATTGTATATTTAACAAAAACATTTTTTAATCATCTACAGCTTATAAATTTGATTTGATTCAGTCTATGGCAGGCGGTATATAGCACTTAAGCTTCAGTCTCTTCGAAATAAAAATGGGCTTAAAGTAATTGAAGTATCTCCTACCTATGCAAATCATAATTGAAGTTTTATATATTTGGTTTCTATGCTACTTGGTTGTCTAAATCATGTTCGTAACTGAAGTTTTCTATATGTCATATTCGAAACAAAATGGGCCATCTAATCAATTAGACATATGATTTGCATATGACATAAAAAATATAACTGTTTTGGTACCTTTTTCCTTGTTGGTGCAAGAGTAGTACGAAAGTAATATGCTAAGGATAATGATAAACATGTTTAGTCGCTAGGGATCTTCAGGAAACATTTACAAAACAAGATTTTGTTACATAATACTTTTAACTCCAACAAGGTGCATGCTATTAGGAGGAGGTATGAGAAGAATAAAATGAGATGGTTTTATCCCAATAAAAATCTACGATCTGAGATGAACAATTCGGTTGAATTTTTATCTTCAAAAAAACAGCCAAAGTGCTGTGTCCAACATCTTTCAAGCGGTCTATATCTTCTGAGAAGCCATTGTCTCCCATAATTAGCATCACGTTCTAATGCTTAGGCTTGCGGCTCTCTTTAAGCAATGAATCAATTCGTTGTTTGATTTCAGTATCAGCCACTTGGTCATTTTTTGTTTTGCTAGGCCTTGAAAAAAAAGAAAAATAATTAATCATGACTTGAGTAGTCAGCCCTGGTTCTGAGACATGGCAGAAAGGGCAGCAGCTATGAATCCAAAATTTTAGGGGTTCAATTTTTTTTTAATTATAAAATTTGATAAAAATGTATTCTTTAACCCATTTAGGAACATATAAGTAATTATCAGTCCATAAAAATGTTCATTATTTATTTGATTAGAAATAAAGTATCCATAGTTTAATTATACAAAAAGGATTATACCTAAATTATTAATACAATTGTCTTTTTTTAAAAAAATTGTTGTTGTCTTTTTTTCTAAAGATTCAGACTCAACAAGACAACAACCATTTTGATTCTTCAA